GCCCACCAAGTAACTGCAGAAACAGTGCAGTGGTATGTAAATGCAGGCTTTGAGAATATCCCACCTGGTTGGAGTTGCGGGCAGTGGTGTTTGAGGTGGCTTTAGTACATGCAGTTGCTTCATATGTTGCCCTTGGGTGTTCTGGTGAGATGGAAGAGAAGCCCAACCACAAGTCACTAACTGAAGTGACAGAATTGTGTCTTAAGGGAGGTCCAAGTGTGATAAAAAGTAAACTAAAATTTACTATCATCTTTCCCATTTATTTGCGCCTCATATTGCTGTTGTCACAGGATGCTCAAGGATTGAAGGCAGAAGAGCCAAGTGGACTACATATAACAGTATTAACATCTGGTTCAACACATTGAAGAATAGGTTGGTCTCTGGAGGATGGGCAAGAGAGAAGACTGCTGATGATGGCGAGGTTGATAGAGAACTAGTATTCATTGATGGCTAAGTCAACCAGATCCTGAACCTTCAAGAAAGTGGGCTAACCCTTGATGGTTATCATTCTCTTTGTCAGGTGGCTGACCCTCTACACAATTCCACTGTTCAAATCAAACTATTGCATGTGACACAGACTGAAAAACAAGAGTAGTGCATACACAGCATTTATTGCTGGGAGTACTTCTGCAGGGTATAACAAAGTGTTGCCGCCCCATTTCAAACTGAAATCCAAGGCAGAGGATGAAGACAAAAATCCAGGATGATTTTGTACTAAGAGGCATGCCAAAATTTAAAGGCAACAATTGGCTAACAGAGAATGGCATCACAGTAAATTTCATCAGGGGGGATGGATGGGAAGGAATGTCATCTTTCATGATGGACTCTATTGTTAAGCTGTATCCTGATGTGGGGGATCTGCCTTGTAAACAAGTTCTCATCATTGTGGATAGTGGACCTGGGAAAAAGGATATTGGATTATTGTCGAAGCTCCAAGCCAGATTCTTCTTTAGTCCCAAATACAACCCAGCCCACAGACCAAAACTGTGGGCCTTTCAAGTTGTTGTAGTGTCATAATCTGGACACACAAAATGATTTTCAGCTAATTGTACTACATCAGCTGAAGAGGTTGTGTTACAGCTAGCCTACAAGAAAGAATTTTCTGTTACAAATTCCAAAGCAGTGCGAAAGAAATGGTATTGTATCAGATAGCAAAGTTCCACATAAGATGGTAGTACTGAAAGATGGTACTACTACTATCAATTTAACAGCTGATTCAGATACTATTGCGTTGATTGAGAATGAAAAGAAGAATGCCAAAGCAGTCAAAATGTTGAATGATGCTGGATTTGACAAGTATGTCCCATGCAAAAAGAAGGAACTGTTGGAGATGGTCACTGTACCCAATTCCCAAGCTTGTCAAGATGCTCTTTCTGGAGCAAAATATTCCAGTCCTCAACAGGTTATTACTATTACAGGAGGAGACACACTTAACACCACTGAGGAGAGGAAGGCAAGAGAACTGCAGATTGAAGACCTAGAGACACTAAAAAGAAAGGCTCATGCAGTATCTAAGTTCAATGCCTCCAAGGGGAAAGATGTTAACAAAGAGGAAGATTCAAAGTCCCTACCAGTTTCTGCACTCAAGATATTGTGCAAGTGGAAGGAACAAAAGAAGATTTCTGCAAAGAAGCAAGAAGTGCTTGATATTTGGCTGGAAGTGAAGGATATGGCTTTCCCTCCAGACTTTTCTTGAAGTGATGAGGATGAGATTGAACTGGAAAGACTGAAAGAAGATGAGATTACAATTAGGGACAACAGTTGCCCTATCATGTCTTTGAGGGATGACTGAAGAGGAGAGAGTTGCAAATAATATGCATGTTAATGTTCTGGAAGGAGTGAAGGGAATGGTTGTTGGTGAAGTTGCTGGTGGTGTGGTTGGTGAAGTTGCTCAACTTTAGTGTCAAGTAGTTAGTAAGTGCCTGAAGGCACAGTAGTAAGTGTTTTATTGAGTGTTTTGTTGTAGAGAAATCTGTTCTTTGGATTGGATTTATATTTGGTAGTGTTTCTATAGATATTCAATTCAGCAGATCTGAATTCTCATAGAAAGTGAGCAAAAAAGTGAGCAAAAATTAGCTCAGAAGTTTGGAACCTACAGAGATAGTTTTTTTTAAAAAAGTGCAACAGGTTCACACTGCCAACCCTACCAATGAGGTGTAGTGTTCTCTCCATAGAGCCATGTACAATTTGTACCAACTTTGGACATGTCTACACTTCATTAGGGTCTGTACCTAGTAGATTTGAATTCCCATAAAAACTGAGCAAAAATGTGAACAAAAATAGCTCAGAAAGACTGAAATATTTTTTTAAGTGTGCTGACAGGTTGAAGTTGTGAACCCAAATGCTGTGTATTGTTCTCTCCATAGAGCCATGTATAATTTGCACCAACTCTGCAAATTTTTGATACTCACGTGTCTCAAAAATTTGTGTTTTCCTTACACTAGCTATAGACACACTATTAGACCAACGTTTCCTCCTGGCAAGAAAGAAGAACATGATGGGAGTATTGGAGGTCATTATGATGTACTTCTTGTATATCCTGTTAAACAAGGAGGAACAAAACAAGACTTATCTATGAAAACTGTCTCCAGAAGAGAGAAGAAGAAGAGGTAGTAGGAGAATGCCTAGTAGGTTTGCGATCAAGCACTCCTCAACTGCTGTACTGTAGACCATCAGGTCTTCAGAGAGATTGTCCACCTATTTGCTCCAGATTACTAGAACAAGTATACTGTGGATGACAACAACAACATTGTTGCAGTTGCTTGTTACCCCAGGTGGAAAACCCAAGGGGAAGAAAAGGGAGGTTGATGCAGTCTGCGCTATTGGGTTGGTCCTCTATTGGTACAGGACAAGAGGATCTGCTGCAAGGTCAATGACCATGGCCTTTGACTAGAAATCTACAGTGATGCACAAGTGGCTCAAGTTTTAAAGGAGAGTGTTGCTTGTTGCTCTTCACAAATACCCAGATACCATGGTCAGTGTCCCAACTCAGCAAGAAGTGGATGGTTATGTTAATGCTATTGGAGACAATTATCCAAGGCTTGGAGAACAAAAAGTTTAGGCTGCTGCTGATGGACTCAAAAGCATCATTCAACGGTCACAGGACTGGTATAGACAAAGAGCATTCTGCAATGCCTGGTGGAAGGAGAACACCTTTGTTAATAGAGTGTTTATCTTTGCTCCAGATGGAAGGATCAGGATTGCAGTGCACAACTGCCCAGGGGCTTGGCATGACAGTGCATGTACAGCTGCCCAGGGAATTGGCATGACAGTGCTATTGCTGATACCAAAGGATAGAGAGGGTCCACAATGAGTGCAATGGTGCTAAGGTTGCTGTTGATCCATCCTTTGTTCTGAAGAAACTGTTGATTCATCCTTTGTTCTGAAGCATTATCAGCATAGCCTCATCATCAAGAGCTCACAAAGGGATCCAGACAAGTACAACCTCCTCCTGTTGTTGAAAAGGGACACCATGTCCTTGAGACGATAGATGTCAGAACAGGGGATGAGGATGATCCAGGGACAGTTCCTAAGTATAAAGACCCTATTGGTACGGAAGAGCTTGGAGAGAGAAGGATCATCATGAACCTCCTCATCAACTTGTACAACTATCAATGCAGTACCATAGGACACAACCAAATCCTTTTGGTCTTCATGAGGACATGACCAGCAGCAACAACCAACAAGGTTCTGTATGTCAAAAACTAGTATCCTCTTGGAGGATTTTTCCTTGTTATCGTGTCGATGAAAATGGCTTGTTCTGACAAATCCCATGGTGGATTCATTGATGTGGTTGGTTGAGGGAATTTGGTTAGTAGAAACAATTGTTTTTACTAACTCCTAGTATGGACTGGTTCCAGAGAGGACATGATGTAACAGGAGGTTACTTAGGATCAGAAGGCACGTGACCCCCTCTTTATCCAAAGGTACATACATCTGGGATCCTCTGCCAGCAGCTTGTGACATGGCTCTCAAAGAATTGAGAAAGGCGTGTATAAAACAACACAAGTCAACCCCCATAATCCTATGCCCTAGGCTAATGACCCCACTCTGGATGAAGCATTTGTTTAAGTGCTGCAATTTAGTGGTTGAGATATCCCCTCTATGCGATTATTGGAATACTAACATGTATGAACCTTGCTTGGATTCTTTTTCCCTTATTTAAACTGCACACCCAAAATCCTCCAACTACACAGGAAGCTGTCAAAGCTGTGGAAAACAGACAAAATGGGCCCAATCACTCTTTTGCATGAACTTTGCATGGTCAGTAGGCAGCTTCCCAAAATGCCATGGAAGTTGGTGCACAAAGTGTTATACTTTGAATAATAGAGTAACCTTCTTCAAGCTCAAAACACCAGCAGTCTTCCACCCACAAGAGACCACTAACAAGAAGTGGAAGCAGAAGAGACCCAAAGACAATATCTTTGATTATGCTAGACCAGGAGACCACATACTCACTCCCTTTCAATGTGATCTATGTGTCTTCAAAAGAATTAAACAATTTGCTAGCAATTGGTTTGCTTATGCAAGATGCTCTCAAATGGTTTACACACCATCATGAATGCTCCCTTGCTGTTTGAGGTTGACTTTGCTGCAACAAAGAAAGGAAATAGAATGTAGAGACTAATAGGACCTATCAGGACATCATTGATGTCTGGATAGTTAATAGAGGTGTCTTGGTGCCATTGTTGGAAGAGGTCCTTGTTGACAGTGGGGCCTCTCTTGTTTTTTTAATAAAAAGTGAGTCATAATTTTGTTGATCCCAGTCTTTCTGCTGTTGAGTCTTTCAACAGACTCAAATTTTCAATTGTGAGTTCCATCATAGATTTATTACATTTAGAATGGCAAATTTTAGCCATTCCAAAAGTAATAAAATTTGAGATAGAATTGCTAAATTTTTGGTCTGTCTGTCTATCAATAGTAGCATATCTATTATAATGGGAATAACCCAATACAATCAAAAACATTGTTTTTTAAATCACAGCAAAAACAAGCTGATGCAATTCACACTAACTCTATTTTGGATAAATGATGATGTCGCTGCGGTGCTGTGACTACTACCTATTTTTTATGCCAAAATTCTTGCTCATCAAAAATTTCTCTGGAACTAGATTTTATTGTCAGGTTGAATTAATAGTGATCTTTCTCTTGTCTATGGGTTCAATTAGATTGGAATGTGGTCACTCCTAGATTGATGAGGTATGCATCGCTTTGTTTCTATACCGAAAAATATGTGCAATGATGAGTTTAAAAAGCGGGATAGAGTTTTAGACGACGGTATTTTTTCTAGTGCATCTTCTCCATCATTGTCATCTCAGATGAAAAGTTATCTGATATATTCATAACAGTTGTCGTATTCTTTCGATTCACAGTTATGTCTTGTGTCTCGATCATAAGTGTATCTTTCTCGATCATCAATTTGTAGGGACGCATCCTTTCTGGAAGACTGTTTGAATAGAGAAATCACCCACGCAAGAGGGCGAAAACAAACGTCGAAAACCTCAGAATCGTGCGCTACTTCCGCCAAAAAAAGATCAACTTCAACTTCAACATTGCCATCATATTGTTCACGGCATTCATCGTCAAGGTAATTCCCCAAAGGCCAACTTTCCACACTGTAGGCCAAACTTCCGCAATGGGAATGCGACTCCAGATCTTCGTTGGTCGTCGAACAAGTGATTGTACCGTTCGCTCCAATGCCAACAGGGGAGTCCCGTTGATCCTTCTCATGATGCATACGATGTACGAATACAGTCTCATCAGCATTGTTTCTGTGGAACGATGGTTTCGATGTATGGAGCCAAATTTTGCGACTGTACGAAAATTGCGGAGCAAATTCTGGATAAAGTAGAGCTTTATCGAAATAGTAGTCCGATTCCGTCAAAGCGGGGTCGATATCCCTCATGGTGCCCTATCTCTTATTCGTTTGCACAAACTCGCAACGGAATGAAGTTTCGTTCAAGTGAAACGCTAACTTTTGAAGCAATATGAAGAGTGATTGATTCGAAGAAATCTATTCGCTTCCTGAATTTTGTCCCAAAAATGGACGACGTGACGGAAACTTCAGTCCCAGACTAAGATTTTATCATGAATAGGTCTGAGAACATGACAAATTTGGTGCGAAGTAAAACCCCGCATCGATGATTTTCTGGCCGACCGTTTCGATTCGTGTCTTCATAGGCCCTGGCATTATGAATATGATAAGCGAGCTGTATTTTTAATAAGCTGAACATTGATGCCCGAGAAACGCTTTGTGGACAAATTCTTGGTGCGAAATTTTTAGCTACCGTTTCATACAGTTGTGGAGCAGTTAGGAGTTATCCTCGACGAATTCTCCTGTCACCGTTCGTGGAAAAGGGGGGAGGAATACCGGTACCGTAATAAAAATCATGGAAGTTGAATAGAATAAAAAGTACAAAAATAGTCGTTATTCAAGACGAGTTTCCTGATATGCTAGTACTATGAAAGATTGAACAAATGACAAACGTACAGTACAGTACGCTACATACAGTACACCCAACTTTCGACTTCCACTGGCTGCGCACCGCGAAAGACCTAATTGAAGTTGTTCTACTGCTAGTACGCCGATGCCGATGCCATGCATATCACCCAACACGAGAGTTGGTCCACAAACAGTTAGTGGTCTACCACTATCTGGGCTCCTTCAATTGTTACATGTCGCAAAGTGACACTCGGAGGAGCAAGAAGCTCTTTCAAATGCTTGACTCTAAAGCAAATTGTACCATTGGGGACGTATATCCCAACCATGCTGGCATAAGAGAGTATCCCGTACAGCCAGAGAACAAAAATATAGGTCCGAAGGCAACCAACGAGCAAGAGCAAGTTCGTGCCACAGACAAAATAGATTTTGAGGACCAGAGGTGGCCGAAAACAAAATTTGGTGGTACTACCCGTAACCTTATTCAAGTAGAATCAGCCGTCTCTTCGTGTTCGTTGCCTTTATGCTCCTCGTCATGAGAATTATCAACACGCGAACAATGCAGCAAAAGCAAAACACAATTGCATTGGACAGCGAAAGAATTACTGGTAGGTGGCACGAAAACAAACGTTGCTGCTGGAATCGAACCAAAACTAAAACTAAGCAGTCGGGGGCTCCGTAAACTTCTATATCTATTGTACATATATATTCTTCGTGCCACACACCCGTTTGGTTCCGAGCACTCGATTCGGAACACTCTCTATCGCTCCGGAAGATCGTTCTCACTCCTCCTTGCTGCCCTCCCGGTCCGCAACGAGTCCGATCGTAACGCGGACAAGACGATCGGGAGGCGTTTGTGCCGGATCCCCCGTGTCTTCCATCGCTCCCTCCAGGTCTTTGTCGTTGCCGAGAACCGGCAGAGTGCTCTGGATTCTCAGGTCGCAGCTCTTCCAGGCCCGTGGCCGGTCTGCCTTGCTAAAGGTACGGAAGACCAACGACCTCGGAACGAACCGACCGCTCTCTTTGTCTTTCTCGAACCTCGTCGACGCTTTCACGAAATACTCGATGTTCCCGTCCATGAGACTGTCCATCGAAGGGACGGCTCTCCTCTCCAGCAACGCGGCGGGAGGCTGCGAAAGGGACTCGATTGCCGAATCCGATAGGACCTCCGACCGCACCTTCCACGAGCCAACCGTCCGGTCGGTACCGAATTCAACGACTGGCAAAAAAGAGGCAGCGGTTAGTTTCGGTGGTGGCTCAAAAACACTGGGCGATTGGTTTGTTTCCGGAACCGTGCAACCCACTTACCTTGTCCGTCGACACGGTACGCATCCTTTTTGCTCCAGGGAAAGCTCGACGGGTACAAGACGTATACCCTTCCGTCTTCCTGCAGGTACACCCCGTAGTCCTTCCGGCACTGCAACCAGGCCGCCTTGGGTTTGGTTGCCTGGATCCGCTTTAGAAATTCCAGCACGCTTTTGTCGCTGAACATTCCCAGGCCAGCACTGTGCAGGGCCTCCCGGAGCACCACCTTCCAGAAGAAGAGGGGCTGGTCCTTCCAGGCAGAGGTGTCCAGGACGATGCCCATGGGCCTGCGGACGATCGAGTCCAGAAAGGGTGCGATCATCGATTTGTTCATGAGCGCGCGGCACTCGTCGCTCTCCACCGCTAGGTTGCTGAGATTGTTCATGCTGCCGTCCCCGTATATCTCCTCCAGCAGCGGAAGGAGCTTGTTCCTAAGTTTTCCGCGGGTCGACCAGTGCGGCGTCGTGTCCTTGTAGTACGGGACGCCGAACCTGTGGGCGTAGTCAAAGACGAGGGACTTTTCGAGGGGCAGGAGCGGCCGGAAGACGGTGATTCCGTCGTTTCGGGACACGGCGGTCATGCCGGAGAGGTCGAGCGGCCCGCAGCCCTTATGCGCGTTTGACAGAACGTTTTCCCTCAGGTCCCCGCGGTGGTGGCCGAGGACCACCCCGACGGTCCTGGGCCCGCCGCCTGGCAGAAGCCCAAGCCCTTCCCTAGCCCTTGCCACCGCTTCGCGGTAGGAATCGTACCGGATCTCCCGGGCGATCCGCTCGTAGTCGTCCCGGGCGGTGACCCCCCGGGTCACCTCCCCGATGCGGCGGCACACAAAGCTTATGGCCCCGCCCAGGTGGTGCTCGCAGTACCTCCGGACGTAGTCCGCCTCCGCACCGGATTCCGGCCGGTTGGCATAGTCGATGTGGACGGCCGAGATCGCTAGGTGGTCGTACCCGCGGGAGCGCTTGAGGTCCGCCAGGACGGAGGCAATCACCATGCTGTCCACGCCGCCCGAAAGGGAGACGACGATGGCGTCCCCGGCCCGGGGCTCGCTGGCATTGGACCCCCCGGCCCTTCCGGGGGCCCGCGGATGGATGCCCTGGGTTGCCAGAAAGTCGGCGATGGTCTTGTGGACCGGGTGCCGCGGGGCGGGCTCCATGTCGGCCTCGAAGGGAAAGACTTCCAGGATCGCGTCGTCGCTAAAGGAAGACCCCGCTTTGCCATCGACGCCTCCGGCGGTGCCTTCGCCGCCCGTTCCCGTCCGGCGCCGCTCGTCCTGTAGGACCGCGAGCCTCCGGTTGGTGGCCTTGCGAAACCTGCCGACCATGGCCCCGTTCTGCTGCTCCAGGTCCGCCATCTCCTCGACGGCGGCCATGGCGTGCTCCACGCTCTCCATCGTGCCCGCGTGCCGGTAGGGCATGAGGGCAAAGACCCTCATGGGGAGGGGGACCATCCCGCATCGCAGCTCGGAAAGGTGGTCCCGTTCCAGGAGCCTGGCCGTCTCGAGCGCCAGTGTGTCGAGGGATTCCTGTGGGGGCAGGTGGCTGCCCCCGCTTCCGGCGCCGCCGCCGTTGTGGTGCCGGAGGACGTGCCGCGAGCACTGGTCCAGAACCACAACGGCAGCGATCTTCCCCCGCGCCCCGTAGATTTTTTCGGGGTCCAGGCACCATTGTTCCCACCGTCGGCTCCCCCTGCCGCGTGCCAGCTCCAGCAGGAGGCCCTCGAAGCGGGCGGCAACCTCGGCGTCGATTTTTTTTCGGTGCTCCACCGACGAGGACGCGATCATCCACAGCGCCTTCTGGGAGGTCTCCGGGGGGTTCTGGCCGAACCAGTAGCCCAGAACGCCGGAGATGGCTCGGTTGTTCTCGCGGATCTCCACAAGGGAGGGTCCCGATGAATCTTCTCGGGGAGCCGCAGCGCAAGTCGTTCCAGCGGTTGCGACGGGCCTCGCCCCCTCCAGGACGCGCCCGCAGAGGCGGAGGAGGCTGCTTCCGCTTCCAGCGTCTTTGCCCGTGCCCCCGGGCCTCTTCCTCCAGAAACGATAGGCAAAGACCAGGACGGCGATCGCTGTTGCCGCCGCCCGCGCCCGGTAGGAAGCCTCCCCTCCCGTTTCGCTTGGGAGCCGCCGTCCCACCGGAGCGTAGGGGGACACCATCTGGCTCGTTTCGTTTCGTTTCGTTTCGTTTCGTTTCGTTTCGTTTCGTTTCAAACGGACTTCTCCAGGTGTATGGTTTGGAACAGGGATATATGGATGGATCGAGGATGCGTTGGGTGTTTGGGACAATGCTAACAATTGGTTCCGGTGGCCGATGGCAGCATGGGTTCGAAAAAATGTGGATTGGTTTGTTTCGTTTCGTTTCGTTTCGAAAACAAAAACAGCAACAAAACCGCCGTCACGGGAGGTGATTGCCCTCCGACCAGTCTCATAATCTCATAACCTATTTCGGGGGACAGATCTGGCTCGTTCCGTTTTGAATCATGCAAGTCGAAATAGTTGTTTCACCTAATGGAACGGTCCTTCCCGGAAACGGGGAAACGAGTCGAAGGGGGAAACCACTTCTGGGGTTAAAAAGAAGGGATGTGGTGACTGTCTCACTCCACCGTTGCCATGAGTCGAGTCGTGTGACTTTGCGTTGTCGTTGGTCGCGAGGCCAAGACTCTGTATTCGTACTCGTACCTCGTTCCCAGGGACATCGCGGGCTTGGCGCGGCATCGTTCTTGGTCTGTGATCTGTCGGAGCAAAAACCAAAACCACGCCGAGAAAATCCCTCGTTGCCAATGTTGCAGGGCACTCCACTGCCTGCAACGCTCGCAACAAGGCTTGCAACAAGGCTCGCAACAGCGCTTGCAGCTACACGCATTCGCTACGACAAAAAGGCCCAGAACCGACGCCAACCACAACGTTCTTTGGATTGGGTTGTGGCAATTTCTTGCTGCAAAAGCAGACGATAGCCCTGGCATCGACCCGGACGACGATACGATACGATACGATACGATACGATACGATACGATACGATACGATACGATACGATACGAGACACTACAACAACGGGAACCGAGCGATTCGTGTCTTTAGGGTACGGCCGAGGCGTCTGAAATGCGGGGCGGGCCTCCTTCCGGGAACGAAAGCGACGAAAGCGACGAGAGCGATGGCGGACCGAGCCAGGAGGAGAAGGACGACGAAGAAGACGATGCCCTGGTGGTCTGCCGCTGCGAGTCGCCGGGGATCCTCGCCGGCCTGCTCCGGTCCTTTTCGGGCCACGGCGGCTGGTCCAGGGAAGGGGGAAGCGCGAACGGGGGCGCGAGTGGGAGGAGGAACCGGGACGGCCACGGTCCCTGTTCCGGGCCCTCCTTTGGCAGGCTCCACCCCGCGACGGTCTTTTGCACCAGCGCCGGGCTGACGATCCACTCGCAGTCCTCCAACAAGCAGTTCCAGGCCAGCATGGAGCTTCCATCCGCGCTCTTTGTCGACTACCGGCTGATGGGTCGCGGTGGCGGGCGGAACGGCAACGGCAACGGCAAAGACCGCAAAGACCACGACGATGACGACGACGACGAGGTTTCCTACGACTTTACAATCCACTGGCAGACCCTGGTGCAGTGCCTGAACGTCCTCACGATCGGGACCGGCGGGCACCGGGCACCCCCCGGGCCGTCCTCCTTCTTTTCCGGGCACGCCCTTTCGCATTCGTCGCCGCATTCGCATTCGCGTTCGCATTTGCGTTCGCCCTCGCATTCGCCGTCTTCCCTCACCCTCTCCTACCACTCGTCCACCGAAGTCCTCCGGCTCGAGTGGGAGGCCGCAAAGTCCGCCCCCGGGGGACGGCCCCCGTTTGTCGCCACGGCCGCAGTCCCCGGCCTCCACCCGCCTCCGGCCGATGAGGCCGCGGAGCTCTCGGAAGCCTTTGGCCGGTCCCCGATCCGGGCCCGGTGGCTCTGCCCCTCCGCTGGGCACGAGCTGGCCGACGCGAGGGAGCTCGAGTCGCTGCAAGGCGCCACCTCGGTAAGTATCCGCTTTCTCGGGGGCAGCGGCGACCGTGGCCCCCGGCTGTGCCTGTCAGCGCGGGGGCACTCCGGACTGGTGGACGTCGAGATCCCGGCGCCGATCGAGTTCTCGGAAGGCAGCGGCGGCGGAGAAGGCAGAGGCCACCGGCTGCGCGCAAGCGTTGTCCACACCTACTCCCTGGCCGGCTGGATCCAGGCCCTCCAGCCCCTCGATATGGCCCGGGAAACCTGCCTGAGCGTCAACGAGCAGGGCATCCTGGCCGTCCAGCACCAGGTGGTCCTAGGTGCGGAGGCTCGGGCGGGGAGGGGGAGCCAGTACCACCACCACGAAGCCGGGCCGACACCGCCCCCCCCGGAAGAATCGGCCTTTTGTGATTTCTTGTTGCTCCCCCTGGAGGTGGACGGCGAAAGCACCGACGAGTACGACGGGGAGGATGTCAACGACAACCTACACCTTGACAGAGCCACCAGCGAAGACGATGATGATGGCGACAGAGCAGCCGATGACAACGACGACGACGGCAGCGCCGCCCGAGACGCATCGGGCAGCGACGAACAGACCCGCCAAGGGACCACCGGCACGCAGTCTCCGTTGCTGCTGTCGCCGTCGCCGTCGCCGTCGTCGTCGCGCGGTGGTGACGGGGACGAGCGGGAATCCCGTGGCTTTTTGTTTCCCACCGTTGCCGCGGAGGCGGAGGGGGCCGGTGGCGGCCGGAGGCGGGAACGACAGCGGCGCAAGCGGCAGAAGCGATCGGGACGGGGGAGCGGCGGCACCGCTGCCCGGACGGTCACGGGGGACGACCGGGACGGAGACGATGGCCACCAAGACGACGATGACAACCACCACCCTACCGGTTCACAGACCGGCGCGGAACGGCCCGGAGAGACCGACGGGGACAACGACAACGACAACGACAACGACGACGATCGGTACTGCTCGTCCCCCGAGCTCGTGTACGGCCGGCAAGAATGAGACCGGTGGTGTTGGTAGCTGGCTGGCTTCCGGTCAGCGGCGGACCAGAGCCGAGCAAAAGCAAACGAACGCTTGGAAATCGTGCCAGGAGGATGGATTGGAAGCCACCGTGCGAGAGTGCAGTAGAGCAGCACCAGTAGCACCAGTGGTAGCAGAGCCCAGCAGAAAGCCCCCGGAGAGGCCGAGCACAATAGCGATTTCTTTGCTGCTGATAGTTCCGTTGCATAGGTAGTAGGTAGAAGAAGAATGCCCGTAGAAGAAGCACAGTGCAACAAAAACTTCTGCTAGTAGTATACGATGAGATGCAGGTGATTCCCTGAAATTAACCCTGTTGAAATTTATGTGCAACTAAGCTTGCTACGGGAAGAAAAAAAGATGTGGAGGAAACCGAAATTGCCGAGAAGAAAATGATGCTTTTCCTGCGTGCTTACCAGTCAATCCTCGAATAGTAATACAAATGATAACAAGAAATACTAGAAATAGTAGTAGTAGTAATACTACCAACGCCCCCTTGCTTCTGCTGCCTAAGTGAGGCCCTTGAACCAGACTGATCAGGCTCAATGAAGACTAATTATCCTTATTCATTATCCATAGTGCTGCCTTCCTCTGAAGAGAGAAGAAAAAATAAAACTGAAGTATAATACAGTACATAATACCTATTCGTATCGGATTTTGTATTTTCACCACGGCCTCCACATAATGGACTGAGTAAATTTGACTCGATCGATTCAAGGAAAATTCTAGCCGGCACCGAACGAAATCTCCTCATCGTCAAAAATCGTGAGAACTTCTCGGTCCCAAAGAAGTGCAACCGCAAAACAGAGCGTGTCGCTTGTACAGCAACATCGATTATCGGTGCCTGTTTGGTTTCGAAAACAAATACGTTCGCCAGATTCATTGGAAACTCACAGATTCAGGGAGAGAACCATTGCCGACGTCACAAAATACCATTGAATCGAAAGATGTCTTGGGGAGAACGAATGCAATGATCGTTTTACCTGTGGAAACGATTGGCGGCAGCGGTGACAGCAGGGAACACTGGACCGCTGATGCGACAGGGCTGCTGCGGCGCCGTTTGGCGAACGAAACTATCGCGCCCGAAGTGGCGTTGAATCTAGAAGGAGCAGACTCTCACCATGTTGGGAGCTGGATCGCGATTTTTGCCTTTTCCCTCACGGCAATTGGAAGCGCCGTATCCCTCGCGTCGGTTTTTTTCATTTACCACTATCGAAGCAACCAGATCATATCCGTTTGCCAACCTCCCTTCTTGTACCTCGTTTGCTCCGGGGTCCTTCTTCTTTCGATTTCCACGTGCCTCAATACTACACTGGGGCATCACTCTTCGGAACGATCGCAAACATCTCTCGATGCTTCCTGTATCTCCTGGATCTGGTGTGTCTCCATGGGGGATCTCATCATCTACCTGGCCCTGGTTTGCAAACTCTGGAGGGTCGAAAAAGTGAGCCACTTCCGAAAGGGCCAGAAAATATTGGTGAGGGACGTCATCTGGCCCCTCGTATTTGCGGTCGTGATTGCTGTTGCGATCTTGGTCGCGTGGACGGTATCTTCTCCGCCCTATTACGAACGCGAAATCGTGGTGGGCAACGACGGCAAGATATACTCCGTTGGAATCTGCTACTACGAGGACGGTGGGATCTACCAGCTGGTCCTGACCACCATGTTTCTCGCAAGCGCCACCGTCGTCTATTGGCTGTCGCTCAGGACCCGAAAGCTCCCGGAGACGCTCTCGGACAGCCGGCGAATCACGCAGCTCCTTCTGTCCCACCTGATCATGGGCCTCTTTGTGTTGGTGACCAACCTGGTTATGACGCTGGAAATGACGACCGAGGTCTTTGGTGCCCAGAGCGACGCAGAGAGCAACGCGCGCAACCTGGTGCGGGCCGGGGCGTTTTTGACCAACGTCTTTTACCAATTCTTGTTTGGAATGACGTCCGTCGGCTTTCTGGTCGTTCCCAAGATCTGGTACGTGCGCTACGAGCACGTTCACGGAAGGCTTCCCTCGGGGATCCACAAGGTGGCGGGCGGGCGGGTCACCGTCAGGGTGAACCACCAACGTGTGGGGGAAACGGTCGGCCGCCCCTCTTCCGACGGGATTGGTAGGCCTCCTGCCGTCCGGAAAGTGTCTGCTTTCGGAGACACGAGAGGAGACTTGCGCGATCGCGTCCCTTCGCACGACGACCCACCGTGCCCCGACCACGGTGGTATCGAAGGAGACGGCGGTGATTCCGAAGGGGTCGATGCTCTTGAGTATGTAATGGAAGTAGATTCGTCGACGTCAAGCGCTGGAGACGACGAGAAAAGCAGCACGGATGTTGTAAAACAATAGTGCAGTGTTTGACTTGGTCGACAAGATTGCTTTCGAACAAGACGGTTTGAATCTCGCTAGGGTGCTGTACATTACAATCATGTATTTTCAACTAATGAGGAAGTGTGATAATAGAATGACCAAAAAGATTTTTAAAAATTAGAGTTGGTGAAGGCTTTCATTATTCAGCATTGAAAAGCCACTACAGTATGATTCGAATAATCCATTCGATCGTCGCAGAAGGCCTCCCAATCATTGTATTCGTCTCCAATTGTAGGATCTTGATTCTTCCATCCGGCAACTGCCAACCGGTCCATCCTTTCAAGACACCTCCTGTCTGACGGGTCAAGAGTTGTTCCCATTCCTCGCGCCCAGTCAAGATCTTTGTTTCTAGGCAAAATCCTTCGGTCTTGGTTCGTTTGCGCAGGTCTCTGCGAAGCGTCGGTTCCTCCGCATCCGACAACCACACCTGAGAACCGAGTTCGCCTTTTTGCAGGTTCGATCGAATCGTGCAAACACAGTGGGGGGAACCAATCTCCCCGGACACCAAAAACACGACACTGCAGCTACTGCTGCTGCTGTTGGTTGGTGGGGAGGGAAAGTGTCGCGGAATCGCCTGCGTGCCAAAGGTTTCCGTAGACCAAACGTTGTGAAAATGATACTTTGCGCAAGTGGCACCGCTGTCCTCGCCGACGCCGGCTCTGCCGCCTTCCGCACCTGCAATAAGCGACACACCAAAACTCCCGACGCAGCAATAGGGCGTCGACAGGGACCCGAAGTAGCCGCATCGTTCGGCCGCCAGGTCGCGGATGGTTTCCCGGTGCGCCACCACGATGCAAACGTTGCATCGCCGGTCGGCGGCCATCGCCACAGCCTCGTCCACGGCAGAGAGTGGATTCTTTGGGGGCAGCAACGGGGTGCCTCTGGGGCTTTGTCGGGACGGATATGAAAACCCGTCGTTGCCTCCTCGTTGGTCTTCGTCTGGCACGACCGGACGGAGTGGCTTCGAAACCGGGGAGGAGAGCCACGATTTGCCCGTCTTGTCTTCGTGGCGTTTCCAAAAACGAATCGGCTTGCCACCCGAATGTTGTGCGCATGGTTCATTCTGCTGCCGGTGGACGGGCATGGAGGACAAGGCCCGAGCCAGCGGACTCGCGTCGGTTCCGTCGTTGGATCCCATGCCGGCGCATCGAATGAATCCCTTCGGAACCAGTTCCTCCATTCCACCTCGCTTGGAAACGGCAGCGGCGGAATTTCCGAGACCGTTCAGAACGGTGATGGGAATCGCCCCGTCGTGCCCATCGCTGTTCGCACCCGACCGGTGCCGCGGAAATTCGAGGAGCGGCTCGCCGTTGCCGCTCTGCCCTGCATCGACACCGACGGTGCCGATCATGAGCGCGGTTCCCACGGCGCGGCGCAGCGGAGAGCAAACGACGGCGATCCTTCTCGGACCGTCACCCCTCCGCAAGACCCCAAAGAGGCGGGAAAAGGCGGCGTGGGCCTGGCGGTGCCCCCGTGCCGTCAGGGGGGGATCGAGAGAGTCCGTGGCCGGAAGGGCGGGTGTTCCTCGTTCGATCGACCGGCGGTGGTGTGTCTTTGCTGCCTGCCACGAACGGAATTCCCTCCGAATCGCCTCGTCCTGGCGTTCGCCGTGTCGAACAACGTATAGTTCGATGTTGCGAACCACCACCATGGTTGTTGTATGCTAGATTCGTTCCGCGTGGTACCGGTTTCTTCTTGGTGGTGGTGTGTCGGCGTCCTCTAGTGGTACTAACAACGAGAAGTCTGCACCATCATGATTGGAGACCTGTCACATTTCTATTTATTTATTAGCAAATGACCTGTTCTCTCCAGTGTGATATGGTGCTCGAAGTGTATTCGGTACAGGTAATATTACTCTCAGGGTTGTAGTGGTGGCAGTATTTTCTCTGTCCGGATTATTTCTCCACAGAAAATATCCGATACAGTACCTGACGAAACGTTAACTCTAACGTTAGGCAAGAACTAATTAAATTATGACCCTTGCGAGTTTCTTGAGACGCACGATAGTGCAAGAAATTTCCTTCTCGTTACAACGCACGGTGTTTCACCAGCTGTACCGGCCGGTACGGTACCGTACTCCTACTTCTTTTTGCGATTGCGATAGAACAGGCGACGTCTTGTAGCATTCTATTGGATTTGTACCACGGCGTTTGACCCAATTGTGGCCGATTGGAATCTACTGGCTGCTCTTCGGTTGCCGCAGCCATCGCACTATAATGCCAGGGGTTACGAAGCGGTTGAACAGGACGATGGGTTTCACGTCAGGAAAAATTGGGATTGTCCTAGCGGCCTTCCTGTTCGGATGCATCGTGACGACGACGATAATCCTCAATTTTGTCACGCTGACAAATGCCCCCTTTCAGACCGCCGAAGGAGGCCCGATCATATCATCTTTGGAGGTACCCAAAGCGTTGCCGGATGCGAGTCCAACAGATGCAACCGTTGCAACCAAGAATCCTCTGGTCGGTCAGAGGATTTTGATTGCCATAGCGGCGTTCGATTTTTCGCAGATTCCCCACCTGGAGGAAGTTCTGGACGCGTACCAAGATTTGTGCGTGACGGGTGCCTCGAAGGTCGACGTCGTCGTGCATGCCACAATTGCTTACCCGGTGACGCTGATCGACATGCTCAACAGCCGGTTGCTTCCCGCCTGCCAGGGCATTTTTTCCATCACGATCGTCTTGAAGTCAAAGAATTTGAGGCTGCACCTGGTGGACGTCCACCGCGAGCTCTTTTACGATAAAATCGACGACTACGACCTCTTCATTTACACCGAAGACGACATACGGGTGCCACCCAGGGTGGTCGGAGCCTATCTTTCCGAAACGAAACAAGTCCAGGACATTGTCGGTTTGGAACGCTCGAGCAACTACAATGTGGGAATCGTCCGGTACGAATACAACTTTCCGGGCAACGTGGCGGTAGACGACAAAACAAGACACGCCACACAGAACGTAACGAGGGTGTACTGGGAGCACGGACAGTACCCGGTGTTCGACAAGGCAGTATACAAAGCCAAGGATAAGGATCTCGGTGATTCGTACGTAACGATGGAGAACATACACCAGGGAATGTTTATGGCCACAAGCTTTCTCCTAAAAGCTTGGAAGGTACGAGAGAATTGCTCATTTCACATTGCGAGCAATCGGCCGAGCAAGAAAGGCGAAAGAAACCAGCCGGCAATAGGAACACAAAGAGTTTGGTGAGTTCATTCTTTTGGTTCGCGAGCTGTGCAAAACGAATGCGTGCAACGGATTTTTTGAATCATAAGAATTTGCTACGGATGATTGAGTCGGATTGGCAGAACGCAATTTGATGACGGAGGGGAGGGCCTAGAGCGGACGAATTGCGCTCCTTGGAGAGAAGACAAGTTGCACTCCATGAGTTGCATTCCGTCTTGTTCTCGCCCCCCATCCCCCTCTCGTATGGTGTCTCCCGTGCACACCTTGCTCCTCCATCCACCCTACGCGCTAACCACAACCTTTCTCTTTCTCTGTTCTCGGTGTCTTTTACTTCCTGCCGACCCCAGGATGAGTTCCAAGCACCTGTACGACCGCAGATACGGCTGCAATGTAATGCAGGTTCTCCCCACCCAGCGGTTCGGAACCCTGACCGTTCTGCACCTGCCGAACAAAAACTACCGGCGGGTCGGTCATTTCCGAAACAGGTACGCACATCGTCTTGCTCGTTTGTCGCGGTGTTTCGTTTCGTTTTGTTTAGTTTCGTTGGCTCGAGTTGTGTTGTGTCGTGTTCCGCTGGGGTCGGGTTGGATTATCGTGCCTCCATCCCACTCACTTTTGTTGCCGCCGGATTGGTGCTTGCTTTGTACTACTATTGCTCTGCTGCCGCACCCCAGGACGTTTTCGGACGGGACCGAGACCTTTGACTTTGGTTCCGAGAGCCTGCTGAGCGAGATGAAGCTCCACATCGAGATGCGGAAGCACACGACGCAGGTTCCCACATTGCCCTACGCCGGGATCCGCATGCTGGACGAGGTCAAGGGAGGCCGACGGGTGCGAACGCCCCTGCTCGAGCGCCGCATGGGAGAATACCAGGCCTACGTGGATCGGGGAGGCATACTCTCCGAGAAGGACATGACAAAGACGGCACTAGTGGAAGAACGGTGACGCACCGCGTGTGGTGCTCAACAGATGCTAGCTGTGCTTCGGATTTCCGGGTTCGGTCCAAAACTAGATCGATTTTTCTATAATTTTAAATCTATCGGTACTCTAGAGAACCACGCCAGGGATGTTTTGTTGCTCCCTCGATCGTTTCGGCATTTCGTCGCGTTGCGTCGAGCGCCTTCCTCGAGAATCCCGCCGCCTCGCTCCCTTCCAAATGCCCGTGGGGCGGGATCCATTCCGAGCTACCTACGGAATCCTTGCGAGCAAACGGCCGCCTCACTCCTCTTCGTCCCAGGTCTCGGGGGTGTAGCCGAGCTTGGCCGCCGCCTCTTGCTCCGTGGGCGTCAGCTCTTCCCAGTCCTTGTCGAAGCACTCGGGATCCTTGTCCTTGTCCCAGAGCTTTTGGGTGTATCCGATGCCCTCGCAGAGCTTCTGGATTTCAGCAGGGAGTTCGTCCCAGTCGTCGTCTTCGTATTCGTCGAGCACAAGAGGCATGGTGCGGGTGTGGTGTGGTGTGGTGTGGGTTAGTTCGGTTCGGTTGGGTTGGGTTGGTGCCAGCAAAAGAATTATGACCTCGCGGAAGGATGGAGGTGGATGCGATGAATCGTTTCTTCCTCTGTGAGGATCTGTCTACGGTACAATATGCCGTAAGGCAGGGGTCCATTTCGTACGATACGGCACTGTACGATACTGTACGATACATACCATACGGCAAACAAGGCTGAGTAATAGAGGGTACGAACCGTGCCGGTTCTTCCGTTGCTTCCCGTTTTCCCCTCTGCATGCAAAGGCTGTGGAGTTCCGGGATCGGACCGTTGGGTGTGCCACCCCCCGGATGTCTCGCACGAGTGCCGTCCGGCACGCAACAACAAATGGCAGACTACGTAGCGGTGTGCAATACGGCACGTATCGTACATCGGACGAGGTTCAAAGCAGGGGGCGTAAGGGGGGAAAAGACGGAAAAGTCGGAATGGATCAAGCAACGCCTATCAGCGCATGCCCGCGAGCACGACGAGCGGGAATCCGCACGTGCTACGATAGGATACAAAAAACGTGGGATAGGGTTCGCACACAGTACAAACCACGAATTTAAAACATGGGTTCCTGCTGGGTTCCTGGGGGTCAACCCACGAATAACCAATGAAATAACCCACAAACCTTGTGGGCCGATTTTCAAAAATTAAAAACAGTGATTAAATAACATTAATGACTAAAATACTTGACATCCTTGGTTAGGCCAGGTCTTCCAGTTGTTCCAGATGAAGAAGCCAATCTACCTGGCTATGAACTCACAGAGGCTGATACCAAGTTGGACGAAATCTATGGAGAGGATCAGCACCATGTTCATGACAACAACCCAGGGACTCACCTTACTGGAGGCAAAGCCAAAGATGCTCTTTGGCAGTGCCATTGGAAAAGGATTGACAACATCAGGGCAAGGCGGTACCTCGTCCCCCAGAATTGTGTGGGAAAACTGTTCCTTCAAAGATTCTGCAAGAACAAGCTGTGAGGCGTGCATTTGCGATATCATAATTTAGAATGTCTCCTGGTATTTGTGGCAGTGATTCTGCAGGAAGCCCACAGCGTGAAAAAGGCTAAGCACATTCGTAACCTGATTGAAGAACGGATCAAGCATTAGGATGCCGAACACTATGGACCTCTCCTGGATAACCTTGAAGCTCAGGCCTGTCTCAGAGACGGACCCATCTCCAAAAAGACAGATGAGGACGAAGCCTTTTGCTCCTTCAATGACAAGCTTCTTTCAGGCAGGGTTTGAGTGGCATGCCAAAATCTCACCAACAGGAATGGTGGAGGAGTTTTGTACCCAGATGACAAGTGCACAAAAACTGGAAGGCCAGTTTTAGACATTTTGAAATCAAAGCATTCACCTCTGCGAAATCCAACAACGCTGGGAAACACAGATGGGGTTTTTGAACAATACTCCAAAACACCCAACAAGATGCCACTAAGTATAATGCAGGACATAGTTGAGTTGGTTGCTGTCAAACTTCCTGGCCCTGCCAGTCCTGGAGGAACTCAAAACATGGCTGCTATGGTTTGGAAATATTGCACAGATGCTTCGCAAGGAATTTGCACTACTCACAAACTGGTTGGTCAATCATCATCCCCCATGGGCTGCTTTCTGTGCCCTGATGGCGTGCCACCTTGTGGCTTTGGATAAACAACCTGGGGTTCAACCAATTGGAATTGGTGAGATTTACAGACAGCTTATGGCCAAGTGTATTATTCATGTGGCAGGCCCACTGGGCACTGACAACTGTGGAAATTTTAACCTGTGTGCAGGCATCTGGTGAGCTGGAATTGAAGGAGCCTCCTACGTCATCCAGGAGGCACATGTTTGAGCACAGGACAGGCCGTCCCACTGACAACACAAGAACAATGCACAGACAGATGGACCACGACAATCCCAGCCTTCCACACCAGCCACCCAATCCAACTTGCCACCACCCAAACTGTGTCCCAAGGATCCAGAAGGCACTCTACTTGTTGATGCCTGGAATGTTTTTAATGAGATTAGTTGCAAGGCTCTATTCTGGACAATTTGCCACCTATGGCCAGCTGGCACTCAGTTCTGCTTCAATTGCTACAGGCATTTGGCAAAACTAATTCTCAGGGGCAAATTCTTGACAAACCCCTGCACTGGTCGCTACTTGTCATGTGAAGTTGACCCACTTTCGATGATCCTGTATGGCCTGGCTTTGGTCCCACTTGCCATACTTAAATTTCCAACAGAGGTCCTACCAACATTGTATGCCTATGATGCGGTCATGCATGGCAGGGTCTCCAATATTGCTGGTACCATGAGGCTCCTCCTCTGCTTGGGCACAGAGCGGGGTTACTTCCCAGAGCCATCAAAAACCTACCAAGATCAACAGAAATTCAACAGGAGTTCAACTTTGATTTATGTGACGGCCACTGGTAGACATTGACAGTTTCATTGGTACTGCTGAGGCCAGGGAAGAGTGGCTCAAGCCCCAGATTGACAAATGGGTCAAAAGTATCAGTCTCTTTGCTGGCACCGCCCACAGATAGGCCTGACAAAATTGCTACAGCCTGAATGGACATACCTTCAATCTGTCATTCCTAGTAAGAAGTACTAGTACTACTTTTTCTGCTACTACTTCTATTTTTCACATAGTTGTAATACTAATAGTAACAATAATTTGTAGCTCAAAAACCAGGCATATTGTGAACACCATAACTTTAGTAGAATAGGTACTTCTTAGGTAACTCTATTCAGCTTCTAAACCTCCCTTGGCACCAATAGCCAACAATGTGTCCTTTAGTTTTATTTATTAATGATATTTTGGGAATAATGAACCCCACACAGACAAAATACCAGTATTTGCTGGCAAGGGTCCAAACTCAATATGAGCACCATATCATTGGGAAAAAAATTAGTTTCCCCTTTATTTTAGCTTCACATATCCCCCATGGTGGCACCAATAGACAGGAATGCATCTTGCAATCAAGCTCATCTGTGATATTTCACACCAAGAAATGATATCCTAAGAACAGTGTAAATACTAGTAATTGGTGGCCAGGAACCAAAAACACTCTGAGGACCATAACTTTGTCAAAAATGGGAGTTAGATAATTCAGCAATTTAGCATCACATATCCCCCATGGCACCAATAAAGAGGAGGACTGTAACTTGATACAAACCCCATCTTTGATATTCTGGAAAAAAATAACTACTCTAACAGCATAAATACTAGAATCTACCAAGGACTAAAAAGACATTACTACTAGTAGCTACTACTATTATTTATGCCACAGTCAGAGATTAAGATTATTCTTATCAGTAGTACTGTTAAATAGGCTCTGTTTAATATTGTTGAAAATAAAACATTCAAAAATAATTGAGTTACAGTCCTCTATTTCATTGAAGTACCCCAACCCCAACCCCAACTTTCATGAGGACACCAGCAGTGAGTGATCCTGAGATTCCTTACAAAGAGTTCAGGAATGACCTTGCAACAGGTTACTTCCATGTAGGACGCCGGCTTTCCCCATATGGAAATGGAATGTTTTGTGGGTGAATCCCATGCTTGGTTGGTTACTGTGGTTGTTTTGAAAGAAGGAAGTTTAGTTACAGCAAATGGGGTCGGTTGACCCATTCTAAAAATGCTAAATCTATAACAAAATGTGCTAAATTTTGGTCTGTGGGCGGTGGTCTTTCTATCAAATTTAGCATTTCTATAATAAAGAAGGAATCGCCAAATGACTGGTTGCTGAGATGGAGCTTCCCGAAAAAGGGCACGTTCAAATCATAAAAACTCTTATTCTTTTCCCATGAGGAGATAACTACGTGTTACAATACTAAATAAAGAGTGAGCTTATTCACCATCTACTCGTGATTTGGGCTCACACTCCCCATCTAGATGACGTCGCCATTGGCGAATTGTACCGTATCTGTTTCTGGAATAATTCACCATTGATTCTCGGTTAATTCTCGAGGTTTTAGTTTTTTGTTTTTTGTAATCATGGATTGATCTTGGCTGATGAAGTACAAGTACTTGTGATACGTACAGGTAAATCAATTCCTCACGCAGTAAGTTGACAGCGGAAACCGCGCGTTAAGTTTCTTTGCTACGGTACTAGAGCTATTAATGGTAAGTCCCTTAGTCGCAAGTTATTGGCAATCCCCGTACAAATACTAATAGAAATTTTTAGCTCATTTTTACAGTTAAAACCAGTTAAAAATGGCATCCAATGGACGAAAATAAAAATATTTCCATTGTTTAATTTCTCGCTGGTCCTAAAATATTTCTATTAGTGCTCCTTACTACTGGGGATATAAAATCAGTGGTTACTACTTGAGAATTAATATTAGTGCTTACTACTGGATCACCTCCATTACTACTTACTAGTTGGGATGCCRTAGTAGTGAAAACTGCAAACTGCTGGGTAAGGGGGTTCTGTTGGTGCTGCGAGAGGAGAGCGAGAGGAGAGCAGCACCAACAGAACCCCCTTACCCAGCAGTTTGCAGTTTTCACTACTAYGGCATCCCAACTAGTAAGTAGTAATGGAGGTGATCCAGTAGTAAGCACTAATATTAATTCTCAAGTAGTAACCACTGATTTTATATCCCCAGTAGTAAGGAGCACTAATAGAAATATTTTAGGACTTCAAAGTTTTTTGTGTGGAGGGGGGGGGAGCGGGGAAATAAAGACGGGAAAATGAGAAAAAATTGACACCCGGGGAATTGCCAATAACTTGCGACTAAGGGACTTACCATTAATAGTCCTATACGGTACGGTGCATACTAGCGTAAGGCTCGGAGGTTCTTGTTCGTTTTCCCTGTTCCGCTCTTTTCGAGAATTCTAGGATCTTTTGGTTCGGACTCAATCGTCGTCAACACGAACCTCCGGTTTCGCTCCGGAGCAGATGTCGTTGCGGCTGCGGCTGCTTGCCCGAAACCACCGCACTTGATTTGCAGTCCGCCCACTACCACTCTTGGTGTCTGCTGCGAGCCCTGGACTCGGAGCTTCCAAAGCGAGAGAGGCACCCCGGATCGGATTCTGATCGAACCGAGTGGGTCGGATTCGCCGCCGCCAGCAGGTTGGACTGCGCCGAACGGCCGGACCGGACCCACCGCGTAGTTTTTCCAGGCCCCACTTGCTCMCACTAGCACCGGCGATTTCGTTCGGGTCCCCTGCGATGCGAGGGAACCACGGTCGCCACGGCGATGAAAGCGACGAAAGCCACCACGGGCTCGGGCTCCACCGCCTCGCGAGGTCCTCGAAGTGGGCCGGTCTGGTCCGCCGGTGCCGGACCCACCCGTTCGAGGCTAGTGCCGAAACGATCGACCCCTCCACTGGAAACACGGCCCTCCACTGCGCGGTCGGCCTCCGGGCTCCGGTCGACGCCGTCCGGGCCCTCCTGGGAGCGGCACGCAAGCTGCCGGGGGCTCCGTCCCCGGCGTGCATGCCGAACCGCGCCGGGAGGCTCCCCCTGCACGAGGCCTGCCGGCACCGGGCTACCGCGGAGGTCCTGGAAGAGCTAGTCCGGGCATGCCCCGAGGCCGTCCTGTTGCGGGACGGCGATGGGTCGCAGCCCCTCCACATCTTCTGCGACCGGGGGGGGGCGGTCTCGTCGATGGAGGTCCTGCTAGAGGCCCTCCTCGGGACGGCCAGGGGGGCAACGATGATAGCGGGAAAGGACTGCGTTCTGGGAAAGACCCCGCTGGAGATCCTCGACCACCGCAAAAACCGTGCGGCCTTTGCCTCGACCGTGGAATCCCTGCGGTCCATGCGGAGCCGTGAGCGACGGCGCTGCGACAAGAACAACAACGGCGGCAACAGGAACAACCACCGCAGCAGCAATCACTCCGAGACGAACCATCGCATGAACAACCGCCACCGAAACAGGGCGGCGGACTGGGAGGACCCGGAGCGCATTGTTGGGGAGGCGAGGGGGACGGACTTTTGGCGCAAGGCGCGGCTCCTGCTCCTGGCGGAACACGCGTCCGCGGGCCCGTTCCCGCCCGGCAAGTGGAAGGACGGGAGTGTCCTCCGGGCGTGCCTGGCCGCGGGGTGCTGCCCTCCCTCTCTGGTGGAGTATGCCCTGCTGGCGCACGGGGAGGAGCTGTCCGAGCCGAACGCAAGGGGGGACCTCCCCCTCCACGAGGTATGTGCCGGCCGCGGGGGGGACCTCCTCGTCTCCGCGGTCCTGGAGGCGCACCCGGGAGCCGCCGGGGCCCGGAACGGCGACGGCGTGTTCCCCCTCGGGGCCTACCTTGGGAGGGATTGTCTCAAACCCCCGACCCAAAAAGGCGTTCTGTGGTCCCTGGTGGAGACCCACCCCCTTGCGGTCGGCTCACTCGGCCTCGGCCCTTGCCTGTATCCCCGGCTCCTCTCCAAGCTAGCGGCCCGGCCGAACCAGGGGCTAGATGCCGTCTTTGACGTTCTCCGGGATACTGCCCCGGTCTTGGTTGCGCAGCAACTGGCGTGCGATCGGGGAAACCACAGCACATCTAGAGTTCATTCCAAATAGGCTCGGTTAGTTTTTTGTGGTGTTTTTTAAGTGTTCGCTCGTTCTTATGCTACGCTACAATAATTGCCGCTTGGGCCGGATCGATCGACCGATCGATCGATCGACATTAGTCGTCCAGAGATTTCCCGCTCAGCTCGAACTCGTTGTCTAGGTTGTCGAGAGACAGGTGGACGTCGAAGAAAATCTCGCTCGCCGTATAGTTGCGGCTGTCGTATCGCTTCTGTGGATAGCATGCCGCGCAAATCAAATCAGCACAACACAAAACGCCAGAAGCGGGGCAATCGGTGAGCGCATCAAACCAAGCTATCGAGCGAGCCAACAACAAGATGGTGCAAACAAACAAGCGAACGAACAAACAAACGCACAACCAACCTACCTCCGTGTCGTCGATGAGCTTCAGAACGATCTCCGGGGGGCTCGCCGATCCCAGCACGTGCGTGTTGATCTCGAGCCTGGGATTCATTTTGCGGTACCGAGTGGCCTGCATCTGCCTCCAGAATTCCCTCGCGGAGGTGGTCCTGTTGTCAAAGGCTGCGGCAGGGACGGGAGCAAGTCGAGGAGAAAACGGAACGCAAGGCGAAGCGCGTCGTGAGTCGAGTGGGTGAGCAGGCAGCGGGCACACAAGGCGGGTGGTTCGGAAACTCTGCCACCACCAAATCAACAGCAGCAACAATAACCACAACTGGCGGCCGAGGCGAAGCGATCCGGCGCCGCTACAACAGCGCTTTGCCTTGAATCGAACCAAAACCATAGACCCGGCGCAATGGTTTGTTTCTTTCGTCACTCACGGTTGAATCGAATGTCGACCGACTTGACGTATCGGAACAACCTCGAGCTCGTCTCTTTTGAAAACTTGATCGGCATGGCGAACCACGACAAGGCCGAGTTTGGCGTCGGCTTCTGTTTCTGTTTCGCACGGCACAACACAAACGCTGTGCAGCTGTCCTGGGGGAGGAACTATCCCGAAGAAAATGTCCTGGCTGGTTGGTTGTCTCTGCTCGCTCCTCGGGAACAACCGCGTTAACCAGAGATCTGGTCTGTGGTTTCTGCACTGGCTTGGAGACAACGACACCTCGTCGATGTTTTTGTGCACCGAAGAGGACAATCTGTGCGCTGGGTCCCGTTATTCAATCGTTTCGACTGTACTCATGTGGGTGAACCAACGGTCTCCCAGAGTACGACTGTAGGGTGAGGTTAAATACAGTTTTGCACGGTGAGTTTCCGAGATCAAGGCAAGGGCGGCTAGATTAGAGATTAGAGGTTCCGAGCTCCTTGTCAGAGTGACACACCACACAAAAAAATTATTGAAGAATTTAAAATATTTTCTCAAGAAATAATTTCCCGTTCCCTCCTTCCAAACCCAAACGAAAACTGAGCAGTTTCAAGACATCAGAGAACAGATCCCAATAGTATGGTACCGTAGTTATTGTACCGTATGTACAGTTACAAGTAAAGACTGAAGACCGTACGGTGTCATCCATCCGCCTTGAAAAAATTGCCTGAGCACTGTAAGATACGAGCACGAGTACCAAGAAAGTGGCACTACGCATACTCGTAGAAGTTACTTCTAGGTGAAGACGAGACCTCTCATAGCAATCACTTTTGCATAAAAATCCGAACCCAAAAAAATACTCCCGTTCAGAAGAACCGAAACAAAGCACTAGCCACCATGACTACCGACAAAGATCACACCAAATCCAACGAGATCTACCACTTTCCAACCCATGCGTCCTATCTTGTTCCAGTGGTAATAAAAGAAACTCCACACCACGGAGAGGGTCAAAGGGGCGTCTTTGCGAAAGAACCCATTGCGAAGGGAACCAAACTGTGGGTGTGGACCCATCGAGTGAAGTCGATTCACCGCGATGATCTCGAAGACTACATTCAAAAAACGTTTGGAAACGACCTAGAAGAAACAAGGGTGTTTCTGAGACAGGGATTCGTGCTGCCCCCGAAGCATTCCTCCGAGACAATGTCGCCGCCACAAAAACAGGGCGAAACCACACCACGAAACGCCAGCAACGACGACAATTTCTTCCACTCGAATCCCACCGACGCCGGGCGGCTCACAAACCACAGCTCCGATCCCAACACGGGTCCCGATGGAGCTCTCAGAGACATCGATCCGGGAGAAGAAATGACGATGGACTATTCCTTCCACGGCAATCCGGAGTGGTACCAAGCGATTTGCGCTAGATTCGGGGTCATGACCGAGGCCCAGATTGCGGCATTGCACCACACGTAGGCAACGGTAGAATAGAATCACTCGGCCGAAAGGATCAAAAGCTTTTTTCTAACAAACTAGAAAGTAGACCTCTTGGTTATCATGTCTATTTTTCGATAAACCATCAGCTGGAAGCGTTGATTCCGAACCTCTCCAGGCATTTTCTTTCTACAGTAACAAACTACAAAGTCAACTTCATCGCTATCAATTTGATTCTTCCCTTGAACCTATGCGCCCCAACCAACGGTTTTGTTCCCGTTCGTCTCTTTCAAGCCAGAAAGGTTTCCTGTATCCAGTCGTGGAGCGCGTCGGCTCCGTTTCTCCACTGCCCCCCCAGCATCACGTCGTGCGGGGAATCGACGTAGACCGGTGCGCTTGTGCCGTAGTACGTCGCGGTCTCCGCGTTCGCCACGGCGTCGACGATGAAGTCGTCCCTAGCACCCACCACGAGGCACGGGGGCAGGTCCGCAACAAAGGGCGCCCTTCCCCCGGAGTCCGCGGACCGGGAGGGGACGATCTGGTTGAGGTCGGTCACGTCGAGGATCGCCCGGGTGTCCCGCTCGAAATAGCCCTGGTAGCGCGCCAGGTCCTCATCCGAGACGCCCGGTTCCGGACCCTTCCCGGTGCCACCGAAAAAGCACTCCCGGCAGATCGCGTCGTCCGTGATCACCTTCTTGAGGACAAAACCCACGGTGATCTTGTACGTGTCGACCAGGGATCTGCGCAGGTACCGCATCGTCGTCTTGCTGTTGCCGCTCGGCGGGACCGAGCACATGGAGACGATGCCGCGAAAGAGCTCGCTGGGTTGTAGGTCTTTCGATCGCGCCATTTTCTCGAGAAACTTCATGACGACGACACCCCCCATGGAGTGGGACACCACGATCGGTCGAAGGCTCTCGTCGCCAACGCTGCCCGTGTCGCCAAGGATGGACGGCAGACAATCGAGCAGGGCTTCCAGATCGGCGCAGTGGTCTTCCACGACACGAACCTTGGTGACGCCCTCCCCGGCGGGGGTCCCACCGGTTCCCTTCCAGCTAAAGGCCACGCACGGGTGCCCCCGCTCGACAAAGAAAGGAATGTAGTGTTCCTGCCAGCACCAGGCTCCGTGAAAGGACCCGTGCAAAAAGAGTATGGGTGGCTTTGGCTTCTCCTCGTCCACACCCTTCTTGCTCAAAATTTCGTCTTGGTTTTGTTGCCTCGGCCAGCCCTCGGGAAGCGCCGAGACCACCTGTGCCCGAACGCCGTTCGGAAGAACAATTCGCTCGTCCTTGATGGTGACGGGCCCGTTGTTTCGGGGCTGGGAGGGACCAGCCAGTGCGTCGGTGGAGCCGAGGCAACCGAGAAGGATCACAAGCGTGGCGCAAACGAGAAACAAAAGTTCCCTTGCACATGGCACCATCTTTGTGGGAATTTTCGTCGGTCTCCTGCTACAGGAATGGAACGTCATGATACTTGTCATAAATGAACCGGAGAGTGCAGGATGAGCCTTTTATCGCACAGTCCCCATTTTGGGCAAAAGATGAAGCCGAGTTGAAGAGTTGTGTCTCTGCCACGACATGCTTCCAAGGTTGAATTCAGGCAGGAGATCGACCTCCAAAAGCAAAAGTTTCCGTCACGGGGAATCGAACCCCGGTCTCCCGCGTGACAGGCGGGGATACTAGCCACTATACTATGACGGATTTGTTCGGAAGAAGGTCGACTTATTCATCATATATACTAAATACTTCTGAATATGTTTCTACGTACGTTATGTTGAAAACCAATTTTTCGTAGAATTCGTTTCACGTCGTGTCGCCCCTTGCCGAACCGCTGTTCATTGGGTGATTCCCGTTATTATAGATGTGCTAAACTGGTAAATCTGGCATTTTTATCAAATATTCAACGGACAGACCGGGAGCAAGCCGGACTTTATTGCAGTCTTTTTTGGAATCTGGAATCTTAACTATACTCCAACGTAAAGACTAAAAAGACTCAAAATGCGCGCCCATTGGTATTTGGTACTAAGTAAAACATGAAATTTTCGATACTCAACAACTAGAGTAAGACATAAACTCATTCCTACTTATTTCCAGTAGGAAGTTACAGCGAATCCCTTCCACTAAAACATGGGCCGGCATGGTGATATTTTCGATACTCAACTAGAGTAGCACATGAACTCATTTTCTGCCTATTTTCAGTAGGAAATGAGTTCATGTTCTACGCTAACGAGTCGACAAACACACTAAAAGACAACAGTTTCCTCCCAGCAACAAGAAAGACAACATCCACCATTGACAATGGGATTAATGGAAGTGATCACCATGTACTGGTACCTCCAGTTG